TAGATGTGTATAAGAGACAGGAAAGAGAGAGAGAGAGGGAGAGAGAAAGAGAAAGAAAGAAAGAAAGAAAGAAAGAAAGAAAGAAAGAAAGAAAGAAAGAAAGAAAGAAAGAAAGAAAGAAAGAAAGAGGCACCAAAATGAAAGGAAGGCCAGGCTGGCGTGGTTCGTGGTTGAGCATGGACCTAGGATCCAGGAGATCGTGGTTCAATTCCCAGTCAGGGCACATGCCCGGGTTGTGGGCTCCATCCCCAGAATGGGGCATGCAGGAGGCAGTGGATCAACAACACTCTCATCACTGATGTTTCTCTCTCTACCTCTGTCTGAAATCAATGCAGACATTTAAAAAAAAAAAAAAAGGAAGGAGGGAAACTATATTAGCAGGTGACATGATGTGATATACAGAAAACCCTAGCAAATACTCAAAAACAAAGCTAATAAATGAATTTAGCAAAATTGCACGTTACCAAGTCAACACACAGAAAGCAGTGGTGTTTCTATATGCCAGCAATGAACAATCAAAAAACGCAATTAAGAAAAATTTTTATTTCCAATAGCATAAAAAAAATACTTAGGAATAAATTAATGGGGGCAGTGTAAGACGTGTACACTGAAAACTAAAACACTGCTGAAAGAAATTAAAGATTTAAATGGATGGAAAGATGCTGCATGATCACGGGTTGGAAGGCTTAATATTGTTAAGATGGCAATACTTCCCAAAACAGTTGAAAGATTCAATGCAATCCCTATCAAGATCCCAATGGCCTTTTTCACAGAAATGGAAAAGCTGATCTTCAAATTTGTATGAAATCACAAAGAGCCCTGAGTAGCCAAACATTCTTGGAAAAGAATAAAGTTGGAGGATTCACACTGCTGGTTTTCAAACTTACTACAAAGCTACAGTAAACAGGACAGTGTGGTGCTGGCTTAAGGACAGACATGGAGCATTAATGGATTAAAATGGAGAGTCTAGAAATAAACTCATACAACCATGGCCAACTGTTTTTCAACAAGGGTGCCAAGACCATTCAATGGGAACAGAAGAACAGTTTCTTCAACAAATGGTGCTGGGACGAATGGATTGCCACATGCAAAAAAATGAAGTTGGATCCTTACCTCACACTATATATAAATACTAACTCAAAAGGGATCAACGACCTAAATATAACAGCTAAAAGTATTAGAAGAAAACACAGGGAGAACCTTCCTGACTTAAGAAGATTTAACAATGGATTCTTAGATTTGACATTAAAAGCATGAGCAATAAAAGAAAAAATAGGTAACTGGACTTGATCAAAATATAAACTTATGTGCATCAAAGGACACTAACAAGAAAATGAAAATATGACCTGTAGGATGAAGGAAAATATCCATTAAGGGTCTAGTGTTCAGAATACAAAGAACTCTTAAAACTCAACAACAAAGAGACAAACTAAAATATGAGCAAAGAACTTGAATGCACATTTCTCCAAAGAAGATATATAAATGGCCAATAAGTACATGAAAAAATGTTCAATATCATTAGCCATCAGGGAAATATGAATCAAAACCACAATGAGATACCACTTCACATCAACCATGAAGATTATAATTTAAAAAAAAAAGGAAAACACCAAGTGTTTGTGATGGGGAGAAATTGCTAGTGAGAACATAAATGGTGCAGATGCTTATGGAAAACAGTTTGGCAGTTCCTTGCAATTCCACTCCTCGGTACAGACCCCAAGGAATTGGAAAAAGGGAATCAAACAAATCCTTGTGCACACACGTGCACACCAGAACTATTCACAATCACCAAAAAGTGGAAATGACTGAAGTGTCAACTAACACAGAAAAAAGAATACGGTCCAGCCCTGGCTGGTGTGGATCAGTGGTTAGAACGTTGGCCTATGAACCAAAGGATTGTGGGTTTGATTCCCCAGCAATGGCATATATCTGGGTTGCAGGTTTGATCCCTAGCCCTGGTTGGGGGCATGCGGGAGGCAACCAATTGATGTGTCTCTCTCACATTTATGTCTCTCTCTCTCTCTCTCTCTCCCCCACTTCCTCCCTCCCTTCCACTCTCTTTAAAAATCTATGAAAAAAATATCCTCAGGTGAGGTTTAACAACAACAAAAAAGCAAGCACTGTATGTTCATGGAAAAGAGGGAATGGAAAGGGCAATCCAGAAAAACTCAGGCCACAACATAGGGAGAAAGACTGACAGTGCAGTCTGCACCCTCAGAGTCCCTGTCCCAGGTTCCTCCTCTGCTCTCTGCAGCCCCCACCCAGTCCTTCTAGAGGGGGACGTGGTGGGCCCACCCTTCCTGCACCTGCCCACAGGGCACTGGTTAAAAGGCAGGTGGCTCTGCAGTCCCGGGGTACAGGTAAGGAGAATACAAAGTCCCCTCTCCTGGTCTCCACCTACCAAACCTCACCATCTGCCACTGTCCACATTAAGAAGCCCTCTTCAGGACTACTCCAGCTTGACATGGAGGTGGAGCCTGTGATAGGAGCCTGCACTAGGACTCCCTGGGTGTCTGTATCGTGTGTGCCTCTTGGGGGAAGCCAGTATGTCCTGGGGGTGAGACAAGCTTGGCCTGGCTCTGGGGGCTACACTGAGGCATGGGATCTGGGCTGAGTGGATGCTCTGTACTCACCAGGGACCGCTTAGCTTCAGGCAGGAACTGTCCAAACTCTGACAGCAGGTCTTCCTGGCCCCGGAAGAGGTTTGCCACCTCGGTGAACACCTCCTCTTCAGACATGCCTCGAAAGGGCCGGCCCTTTGTGCTCAGCTGCTCCTTCTGCCAATTGTTGGGAAAGAGAGAATGAGTCTCTTTAGCCAAGGAACCAGGTACCTAGGCTGTGACATTCAGGCATCCTACTGTGGAGGAGACAGAAGGCCAGCTGGGAAAGAGGGGCCCACCTTGGGGTGCCCAGTGCCAAGCTCCCTTGTCTGGAGAACAGTTCTGTGTGCTTGTATCTGAACCCAGTTCAACAGCACAGCCTGAGCCCTGGCCTTGGATGGGGCCTATGCTAGGAGTGTGGAGGGGATATGGGTAGGGGCACACTCGTAGAAGGACATGGTCGCAGCCCTCCCAAGGGCAAGGGAGCATGTTTTGCTGGGCAGGGGAGTGCGGACCTAGTGCTGGGCCTTAAAGGGAAGAGGGTGAAAAAAAGGGAAGGCACTTCCAGGCCAAGAAAACTGTTTGCCCAGAGTCACCAACACCTGAGGGTTGAAGAAAGATGGCCTGACCTGGAGCTCAAAGCAACAAGATGAAGACCAGAGGGGACCTGGGTTGGGAGGGCGGGAACCGCAAGCAGAACTCAAGTTGGGCATTAGAAATAAGTCCCTGTCAACTTTACACCCGAGGATATGACCCAACTACAGGCACTGGGGTCAGGGCCCTCCCAGAGTGCAGGACATTCGCACTCAATATGCCTACTCCACAGCTACAAAGGGGAACGAGCCAACATCTCCCCTCTTCCTGGTCTGTTGCACCCTGAGGGAAGCTAGTTTTCAATCCTGTACCCGTAGCACCTATTTGGGAGGGGGGGGAAACAACTGCCTCGTCCCCCACCAAAGTCACCAGGACACTTGAAAGCCAAAGAAAAAATGGCAAAGACCACTCAGTTCAGAGAATAAATATAAATCACCTTTCTACACATGAAACAATGATCAAACTGGGTGATGCTTAAAGAAATATGACATCAAACGGCGCCACTTCACTCATCGGATTGACAAAGATGAAAAGGACTGGTGTTGCCTGGCCAGGGAAGGCTCAGCAGTTGAGTATAGACCTAGGATCCAGGAGACTGCAGTTTGATTCCCGGTCAGGGCACATGCCCGGGTTGCAGGCTCGATCCTCAGTCAAGGGCATGCAGGAGGCAGCTGATCAATGACAACTTTCTCATCATTGATGTTTCTATCTCTCCCTCTCCCCCTTCCCTCCCTTCCTCTGAAATCAATAAAAGATATATTAAAAAAAAAAAAAAAAAAAAACTGACATCCACAAGTGAAGCTTTTTTTTTTTTT